GTGAAGTCCTCCGCTCGAGCATGGATCCAAAACCTAGAATTTCCAGATTGATGCTTAAGCACAAAAATTCAACTTTTAAAGCTTCAAACTCGATTCTTTTGGGCTAATTTTCTGGAAAACACTTGAAGACTCATAGTACAACATGTTTAGAAGATCAATTTGTAAAATCAAGCCCGAAGGTGAAGCCATTGAACAAAATTTCAAAGAAACCTTCATGAACAACGCAAGAACATTACATGCATGAGTTCCTAAGAACTCTAATGCTCTAAAACAAGATCAAAATGCAATGTTGAGCTCAAAATCATGGTGAATTCATGGACCTCTACCAAAATATGAACATGCATGTAAGAGTTTTCATGAAAACAACCTCAAAATGCAAGAATATGTACATGCATACATGAATTACTACTCAATTCCACTCTTTGGACCAATTCTTGACTTTAACTCCAAATTTCCATGAAACATGCAAGAGATAACTTGAATTCACAATTAAGAAGATGATTTTCGTACCTTAGGCCCTGAATTCTAGGTGTAAGAGCCTAATGTATGATTCTCCTTCAATTCTTTTTCAAATTCTCCTAAGTTTCAAGCCAAACTTGTTGAGTCAACTCTTTTCTTCCAACTCTCACTCTCTCTCACGGTTTTGGTCTCCAAATGGATGAAGATGATGCATCAAAATGATATAAAATCAATTAATGGCCTAAAGTGCCCACTAAATGGCAATTGTGTAAATAAAAGCCAAGTAATGTAATACAACTTTTAATTAATCGAGTTTAATCATTCCAAATTGACTTTCAATTAAACCTACCATAAAATCACATAAATTCTAACTAGTATAAAACACTAACCCATTTCTGAATCGGTCGCCGATAAGGCTTTCAATTCGGAATTTGAAATCAAAACATGGACAGATCATTCAGTAATCAAACAGATAGAAATACAATTCAAATAAAACACTCATGCAATCAGTCCAGAATTTCAGCTTAATCAGTTACTTATCATGCTCAATCATAGATTAGCACTAATCAGAGGTGAGGGTTGTCACAGTAAGCATGCCTTAGGATAGAAATCCAAGCCAATAGGAAATTCTGGTGAAGATAAAAATAAAGTAATAGAATAAACAAATATAATTTAAACACCAATTTCGCTTTTACAATGCCTACATAAGAACTCCATTTCAGCCACCTTAGGAGGTACACGACTGAGAAAGGAAAGAAGGGAAATAGTAGAAAAGAAAAGAAATAAAGAAGAGGAGAGGGTGCTTGGTGGTCACCAATTCAAAACAAATATTTGAGAATAGTTTGTAAGAAGCTCTTGAAGTAAGAATACTCAACCTCTATCATTCCTTATATATATATTTTTTTCCACTAAATCTATACGTCCAAAAAAAAAAAGATATACGCAATAGTATGCATGGTTAATATATAATAACTCAATGCATGTTGATAGATTGATGATTTTATGATTATATGATTTCTATCTTTCTTGCAAGTGTGGATTAGATAGTTTAGCTACTGATTTTTCTTCTTATGTGTTCAAACATTTTCCATTGTTTGAATTAGTCTTGTATGCTTATAAATTTGTGTTCATTCTTTATAAATATTATTTTTATCTAATCCCTATCACCACTAATGAAAGTAAATATGAAGGTTTAGAGTTTCATATGGGAATAACAGCAAGAAACAAATTTTTTTAGTCTTGCATGTGATTCATGGCGAATACAAGGTGTGATTTTCACAAAATACTGAACTTCCAGCAAAACAAATTTTTAATCTATTTTGAATAAACTCAAACAAACTCATGAGAACACTTTAAAAAATTCTGAAATTACTGGAGTTTGTTTACCATGTTCTCATGGTACTAGAATATTGAAAGAAAAATTATTTGACAACATTTCGTGGTCAAAACATGTTTTTAACTTCACTGCTGTTTGGAGGCAGCAGCAATGCTAACTTTACCAGGTCACCGTTTATTCTACAGAATGATTTTTTAAGTGATTCAAATTGGAAAAGTTAGATTTTTAAGTTGCCTTTCAAATGCCGCTGGTTTCATAATTTTTTATGAAGTATCGAGAGAGAAATATCAATTTTTCCAAAATGTGACAGAATCTGTTCGGTTTTCTTATAAAAATTATTTGACAATTTTCCACTAGTTTTCAGTCTTCAAACTCTCTTGGAAATATGTTCTAAACTCAAAAATTTAGCAAACCGTTCTGACCATGCCTCTTTTCGACACCGTTTGAGGCCCTTTTTTTATTTTTCGAACGCAGAACACCTGTGCTGGAGGTTAATGTAACTCACTGTCCCAGAAAACCAGTTTTCTTCCAAAAATTATTTCTCCATTTTAAAATCGTTTTTTGCCCTAATATTCTTCTCAAAGTATTTTCCTAACTCAATGAACTAGGACCAGTTAAAATATTATAATGGTTGAACTTCATTTGGTATGAATTTCATATTTTTTTTGTTTGATCATACAGTCCTAAAAGAAGAAGTGTGTGAATCCTTAAGAAATCTTGTGATGATTCCTAAGGCATTCTATCACATTTATTTTGGTTGCCATATATGATTGTGTTGTGCTTGGATAAACCTTATGTCACTGTGGTTCTTAAACTAAAACTCATACATGCATAAAAATGTGAATTCAACGAAGTAAAGAAATACGAAATTGAACCGATCATACATTAAATTTTTTTTTAAAAAAAGTGATAGGGCGAGCCCGGTTTAGAATTTTGTGCAAGTGAGTTGCGAACGCTAATATGGCACGGGAAGGTATTTCGGCTCTTATCGGTGTAAGCGATATAAGGTTGGTGGTGCGGGTGTCACAACATAGACCGTTCCTTTGTGGCAGACCGTGATGTCACGACTCGGGTATGTAACTCTGGTGCGTGGGCATCATTGGTAGTTACAACAAGTAACATTTGAATATTTGACCAAGGAGGAGTTAGAATTGCCCGTGGCCATTACTCAGCGGTTGAGTGGAAATAGTGTTCCGCGGGGAGTTATTTAAATTTATCTGATAAACTAAATCTATGAGAATTTTGAAAGAAAAGTGTGCATTTTCCTTATGATGAAATATTGTTTCCGTTTGCCATTTATTTATTTATCTATTGTTATTATTTAAACTATTGGCATTCCTATTATGCTTATTAAATGCTACATGTTATTCTGTTATTACGTATTATTCAATAATTGTGATTATTATTATCGGGGTGAGTATTTTGGGGTTGTAGTATATTATGGAGCTCGTCGCTCATTGGCATTCCCGTTGCCCTGGCGTTTCATGTCAGGTACCAAAGAAAATGAAAGAAACATCGTGGTCTTGCAAGGCGACATTTAGCCTTGGTTAGCTTGAAGAGTCCCCAAGTTCCATGAACCATTTTCTTAGTTCCTAGTTTTTCTCTATTTTTCTTTTATATTTGTGTAATTTTTTTTATGTACCGAGACTAAGTTTTAAGTTATATTAAGAATTGTAATTTGAAAACTTTAGATTCCTGGGTTGTTAATTTATGGATGTTAATGATGTTTGGTGGCAATATTGATTTTAAGTTCTAAATCGTATTATGATATCCTTAAAATTTGGGGCGTCACATACCAAATGGGGCCATTGATGTGAGATTCTTTGAAAACCCATAAGGTGCGCTTCATTCGTAAAGGTAGTAATTTTGTCAGTCATGAATTATTAGAGTATAAGAAAATAATATGATTTAGTTGAAAATATTATAGGCGAATTTATCAAAAAGATGTTCCTATTTTTTTTTTTTTTTTTTTTTTTTTTTTTTTTTTTTAAGGGAGATTGATATATTTTGAACTTATAATTTATATAGTCTCAAATCTTTTATTGTGATTCATTTAGTCATTTTAAATGTGTAATGATTTATTTGTCCGCCACATTGGAGTGTCATATTTAAAAAAAGTACACTAAAGAGATTTTTAGTGTCATATCATACCCATTACATTAGAGTGTCACATCTAGGAAAAGTACACTAAAGAGCTTAACTTTGTTAGAGCGTCACATCATACCTGCTACGGTGGAGGGTCACATGTCACATTTGAAAAAAGTAAACTAAAGAGTTTTTAATTTTTTTTTAGAGTGTCACATCATACCCATCACATTGTCACGTTTGAGAAAAGTAAACTAAGAAATTTTTTTTTTTTAAATGTCACATTATACTCGTCACGTTGTCATATTAGGAAAAAAATATATAGTAGTAAAGTTTTTTTTTTTTTTTTGAGTAAAAGTTTTGGGGTGTCATATCATATCCACCACATTGTCACATTTAAGAAAAGTATATTAAGGAGTTTTTTTATTTTTTTAGAGTGTCACATTAATACTTGCTACGTTGGAGTATCACATCATACCTGTGGCATTAATGAAAGGGTATAGCTGTCTACCAAAACACTACCAAAATAAAAAAATAAGGCCATACAGAAAGAAACTCTCTACTAAGAGGATTTAATAGATCAATAAAAAAAATTAAAACTAATAAAGTATTTATTTGTAAGATGAGATTCATTAATAAATATCTTTTTTTTTAATTAATTACTAAAGAACTAATTAAAAATAACAATTCCACCACATTTCTAATTGAGGTTTTTCAATTTTACTCCAAAATAACGTAATTAAAAACTAAAGTAAATTACAAACACACTTCTTGAAATTTATTTAAATTATAAATTATTTCTTTTGGTTCTAAAAATTATATTATACTCCCTAAGATTTCTAATTTCATAACAAATAGGTCATTTTATTAATAAATCATTAAATTAATTAACAATTTTTAATAATGTTAAAATTTTATTTCAATTAATAACTCAAATAATTTTATTATTATATAAGTGAACAATTAAAAATTTAACTTTTTCAATTAATTTTATTAAATAAAAAATTCTGACAAAAAAATATTTATAATTTTACAAATCACAAACAACAATTCATATATATAGTTGTAATTTGCCCTTAAAAACTATACTGTATAAAGGAGTTCCACAGTCTATACTATCATTTTTAGCCCTTCCTAGGGTAATAACCCAACAAGCAAAGGAAATGTAACCCTTTTCTCTTATCTTTCGAAGTTACTTTATTTATTTTTTCTATCAAACCAAACACAGCACAATCATTCCCGCGAAGTCGCTCGAGGCGGTAGCTGAGGCACTATATACACACACTGATCACAGTCACTGTAACGAGGGAGAGAGAAGAAAGTGTTCTTCGGCATCAGATCAGTAGCATAATCGAAGAAGTCACACCATGTCAATGGAGAGCCTCAACGCTCTCAATCTCTCCGAAGCAAACCTTCCCGAGCTCTCCTCTCTTCAACCCCTCCTCCTCCGCCTTCAACAAGCCCTAATCTCATGCTCCACCGTAATCTCTCTCTCTCTCTCTATATATATATATATATAGGTATTATAGGGTTTGCTAATGTTGTATATCAATTACATTTCCAACAGTCAATCGAATGCGGAGATTTCCGCCAATCTGAGAAATCAATTTCAGAACTCGTCGACTTCCTTAATTCGGTCACCGAAAATAACGATTCTTCAGAGAACGATGCTTTCCAAGTTCTTATGGAAATTCATATATTCATTACTTCGCCTTCACTGGACCAGGTTTCTCACTTTTAGTTTATTGTGCTGATTAATATATTGTATTTCATGTTGAATTTGGATTTTTGTTGGTGTTGCAGGCGGTCATTGATGCTCTTTCGTTTGAGTTGCCAAAGGCTGTTGCGAGGTTCGCTTGCGTGTCTCGGAGATGTTTAGAGATTGCTGGGAGTGTGATTGATTGGTTCATCGAGACTTGTAGTCCACGTGACATGCTTTCGATTCTGTGCGAGGTATTCTGTGTTTTTTGTTGGCCTAATTGATTTCATTTGCTCCCTTTTCAATAAGAAGTCCTTCACTACAAGATTTCGATTTCTGCATTTATGATATCATAGTTGTTGAATAATGTTATTTGTTAAGCCTTTTGGTCTAGAGATTTTAGTAATGATGTTATAGTAGTGAGTTAAGAATAAACAGGCTTTTTTTTTAGTACCTTTTTAGTTTTTTGGATAAAATATGAGATAAAAAAACTAATATGTTTGGATGATTTTTGATTTTTTTTATAAAAAGATGCGTAAAAAGTAGAGTGGATGAAAAGAAAATTTTGACTTTTAGGTATTTGTTAATTTTTTTGGCTTTTTTAAGTAACTTTTTGATTTTTAGGCTACGACTTGTCAAATGAGGCCTTAGGTATTTGTAATACTTGTGGAAGCAGACTGCTCAAATCTCATTTGGCAGGTCAAAAAGTAAGACTAGGTCTTCGAAAATTTCCTAGGCTTCCGGAAAAAGTAGTTCATACTCTTGAGATTATGAGCCAAGTGTGTCTTGGCATTGGACTTGCCCCTCCTTTGGGAAATCTAATGTCATATTTTTCATAGAAGTGAGTACTTTTTCCCACCCACGCTAGTAAACATATTTTTCATAGAAAAACAAATATTCAGAAAATTGAAGAACCTTGTAGACGTACCCTGTATTAGTGGGTAGTTGTTGGGGCCAAATGCTTATTGTGGCTCAGTAGTCATTTTTTTCATTGCATGTCATATCTATGTGGTAAAAAATTCATTGTAGTGGTGATAAATGTATGCATGTTCTGTGTTTTAACAATAAAAAAGTTAATGCATCTGTAATGCCAGGGTGGGTTATTTAAGTATTTGAATCTACTAGATGATAATAATGATATTGTAATTGGAACTAGAGTTACTATCATTTCAATTGATCAAAGAACATGTGGGCAGTAGGATGAATTTTTATCTTTGTAGGTTGAAAACCAATGAAATTTTTAAACTCATTATTTATTGCCTTTTTTTTTTTTTTTTGGGGGGGGGGGGGGGGGTGTGTGTGTGTTTTGATATCTTAACAATTATATATGATCACCATAAATGGAAATGTTAGGGAGTAGGGAAGATCTAAACTGACATGGAATGCAGAAGTAAAAAGATATAAATTTATTTAATTTAATTGAGCTTATAGCCTTGGACAGAGTAGAATGATGAAAAAAGAAACATATAGCTAACCCCACCCAGGGCCGGCCTGGCACCAGGCTATGGCTTTGGGCCCCCCAAAATAGGTCAAAAAAGGGGCCCTCTCTTATTATGGGTTAGTGTAATATACTAGGTGTCTTTTAAGCTCCAAAAAAATTAAAGGGCCCCAACTAACTTAAAATAAGTTGGCCCATTTGAAAATCTAAGGGCCCGTAAGCCCAATTTGCCCAAAACGGAAGGAATTTTCTTAAAAGAATTAAAAAAAAAATTGAAAACTAAGAAAACAAAAAGGACAAAACCCCAAACCCAAACCTAATTCTCTCGGCTCTTTTTCTCTTTCTTTCTTGCTGTAGTCTGCTGCTACTTTGCCCAGGTTGTGTTTTCCTTTGGGTTGTTTATTTACTTTGTAAGAACTATGTTTAGTTACTCTCTGTTTTAGTAGTATATAAATTTCCGTTGAATCAAAAAAAAAAAAAAAAAATTGTGAAGGGCCCCAAATGATCAAGCGATACTTATTAGTTGATTGTGGGCTTCGTGCTCCGGAAATCTCAGGGCCAGGCTTGACCCCACTCCAATTGAATGGGACACAAGACTTAATTTGGTTTGGTTTATATCTTAACAATTATTTCAAAACTAGTCTTGCTGACCATCCAAAATCATCGTGTTTATTTCTTCAAGTTGGTAAAACATTTATTAAAATGATTAATCTTGGTATTCATTTGCCCTTTTAAATAGCTTATTTGTGACTTTTTTGTTCAAATTTTGCTTGCATATACTTCCTGTGTTTATTTTATACCTATGTTTTTAAATCAACCTTGTAGCAATTTGAATCATCCATTCCAAAGTGAAGTTTCACTTTTTTCAAGTGATATCATCTTTTGATCTCCAATTTACGATGACTAGTAAAAATTTGGCAGCTTGATCCCCCCCCCCCCCTCCCCCCCTCTAGCTTGTTTGCTACTTGTTACCAGTTAGTAGGTTTTTGATTTCATGGATCAATGCTTCATTGACGTTTCTCTACAATTTGACCAGGCATTAGATTCTCCAAGCGAGATGTTTAAGGCTCCTGGTTATTTTGCTCCTCTTCTAAGTGGACTGGCAAAAGGTAACGTTAAGATATAGCAAATTCATATTTTTGTTTGCGGACAGCTAAGAAAGTTTCTGGTTTACATTTTTTTTGGTCTCCAGTTTTTCTTTCCATTCAGAGACGCCAATTTGAGCAAGTAAAAGAAGCAGTTCCTGTTATCATCAATGTTTTGAAGGCCATGTCTTCAGAGTTGGATGAAGGAGATACAGACTATGAGGATTTGTTAAACAGATCAATTGACGTTGCCAATTCAATACAAGCAGTTTGTGTAAAGTTGGTCTGTGACACTATTGACAAAATTGTCCCTGCTTCATAAGGTTATTCTTGAATCTCTTTCAGATCCTTATGACCTGATTTTCACTCTATGCAACAGGAGGGCAAACTAAACAAAAGACTCCGTGCTGTACTTGGTCTGTATGTCTTACAAATCATGGTTGATACTCATTACCAAACTGGAGTTTTTTTTTAGTGTTTAATTTTCTTTAATCTAGCTGCTTTACTTCAAGCTATGACTGCTAGTATGAATTTGTGTTGATTTGATCTTTGATTTTGTTTCTGTTACATTTGCAGTGATATTCTTCCTTATTCTGCAGGCTTTTGTTTCAATTGGCATTGGAGATAAAATTTCAAGTTGTCTTAGTTTGATGCTACAGCTGTCTCGCTTCCTCAGATTTTGTAATTTGTCATATCTTGGTTTAATAACAGGCTGTGATGTTGATACAGTTACTAGAACTGTGGTTGGAGGTAAATTCACATTGTTTACTCCATTGTATTATTTACTTTATCACTTCATATGTTATCTATCATGGTTCTAACAACCTGTACAGATCTCTATGTATTATATAGCCAGTTTGTAATTGCTTTACCACGTTTTTGTTACTGTTATGGACAGAAAGATAAGTGGTATTAAAAATTACAGCCATGTGGGCTGTTACTGTGAGGGTGTTGTAATGGTTGTTATGACATCATGTAACATGGCATTTGTCAGACTCAGAAACAATTCTAAGCCCCATTTGCCATTGTGTTATATTAGCCTATTTTCTAGTTCACTTGGTAATTACTCATATAGATATCAAAATAGCATAATATAAGTTCAAATTGTTAAAATGAAGATTTCAAGTCTTTAGATTGCATCTCTTTGGCTTTAGTCGTAACACAGCATCATATTCAATCACACCAGAAAGGGTTATTTGATTATTTTAGTTGTACTTGTGATTTAATGGAAATCCTAGTTGCGAAAGAATGGTAAAAACTTCAATGATAGTCTGTATATCCTAACAACATGACTTAAAACCAAGTATAGAACTAAAATACCTATGAAAATTTTGTCTCTTGGTGTCACAAATTTTCAAGAAACTTCATTAAAAACATTATCCAAGGGAAAATGAAAACTTGCATATCAATTACCTTTTTTTAGGGTTTTGCTATCCCAGCTTTTGTAACAAATTAAATTAACATTACCTCATTCCATAACCATGGACATTATACAACAAATATTGCAACTTTGAACCATATTGTGAAGTTGTAAAGGTTCATTTTATTTCTTGCCAAAGTTTTGTTTCCCAATAACGTCGTTCAATTTTGTTGCTTGATTCAAACACATAATGTACAGCGGATGGAGATGATTACATGCGTTGTTTTTCTCATGTCAAGCATGGAGCATCTCTATCAGGTTTGTAGTTTTTGATAGTCTTTTTTCCTTTTGTTGCATTTTCAAAATTTATTTTTGGGTTTTCTGATATTTTTTGGCTGCCTCAAATACTGGATTCCTTAACATGGAGCATTTCCTTTTGATTTAGTGATTTGGGGTTATATATCCAATGAGGTTGCTCAGGCTGCTGAGGAGGATCTGGCTGCTGTCAAGGCTGAACTTTCCAGAAATCAGACTAAAAGGTGGCAAGCACTAGGCATGTTAAGGAACATATTTTCATGTGGCAATTTACCATGGGAATTGAAGAAGCAGGCCATCAATTTCCTTCTTTGCATTGTTGATGGAAATGTCTCCCATGAATATAATAATGAACATGTGGAGTGTTTGATTTATATGCCTAGTCTTCTTGCTACTTTGCAGGTAGTCTCGTGCCATTTCTTGTGTATATATATACCGAATTTCATGTTTATTTATTCTCTAACAGTTGAAAGAAACACTTCAGGCTGTTGAGATGGTTGTTATCTATGCACCAGATGCAGTGCTAAGGAGGAATGCTTTTAATGCATTGAAAAAGGTAATTTTTTTTTATTTTTTATATTTTTTTGGTGGGTATTTTCTGTGCTTTGAAACTGTGTATAGTCTCCTGTGTACAAGTTGTTAAGTTGCTTTGGTCAAGCATAGGGCTGTGAAATGATAGATCATCAAGATATTACAATTCAATTCATCATGTCATCTCTTCTCCTAGTACATATGCGCTCTGAAAAAATTTAGCTAAGCCTTTTTTATTATGGCATTCCCTCGATTTGTTCTATGTAACATAATTGAATTTTTGTTTCAGATTTATTATTAGCTCATTTGAAATCTGATTGTTGTTTCAGATTTATTATCACTGAATGGGAGATTTACCAAGAAAAGATTAGAGCTCTAATTTGGATAGGCAAACATGTTTCTTTGCCGTTGGGTGTTTTTTCGTGGTGTGTGTTTGTTCTTAAGAAGAATGAACAGCAATTAAATGGAAAACAAATTACAGATTTAGTAATTTCAAAACCAAATGAGGATTTAGTATTTTCAATTTTTTCGATCAGTTTATAAAGCAGTAATAATAGTTCCTGTGGTCTCCTTGATAATTAATGAACTGGTTGGGCTATCTGAATTTAGCCCGTGTTTGGGTTTATAGACTCATATTGAGTTAATGAAGTCATCTTTCTATTCACTAGACAATTTGTTTCTTCAAAACAGCATTCATACGGTTTGGCAAAAAATTTTGATTATTTCAGTTTGTTTCTGGGATGTGTGGCCATAGAGTATGCAGGGCTAGTTAGTTTTGATGCTAACATTAAAAGAATCTGAGTAAATGTGAATCTTATACCTAAATTGTTAAGTCGTGAAGAATATAATCCCAATCCTTGATCACTTGTAATTTAATTCCTTTGAATTTAGCACATTCTAATACCTTATTTTTCTGAAGTTCTTTTGTATAGTTTTTTGTCCTTAGCTATTGACATTTGCATTATTTTCCTCTCGTAACCAGGTTCTTGCAGATATTCCAACTTCTCTAAGATTTGACACTTTAATGGCTTTGATTAAAAATACTGATTCATCGTCCATGGTAGGTCATTAAGGTCACCTGACGGTGTGTTTGAGCATGTGGGTTGGGGTTTTTAATTAATCCTTTTGAAGTGTTGGCTGCATCTTTATACAGATTGCAATTCTCATTGATTGTGTGAGAAAGGAGATGCACATGGAAAATTGCCAAAGGATTTCAATAGGAAATGAAGTAATCCATCCACAGAATAATGCATGCTTCAGTGCAGCATTTTGGAATGCTGGTGCCCTTGAATTAGTTGAGTTGATTCTGAGGCCACCCATGGGAGGACCTCCATCCCTCCCCGAGTATGGTGATGCGGTATTTCTGTCTCTCTTTGTAATTGGTTTGATGTTACTGTAATATTGAATTTGTTTTTCTAAGTGAGTTTGAGGTTTGAAAGTTAGGATAGGCATTTAAATTTACAGTTTTCTTGAATCTGAGCTTTGTCTTTCTAATCACAAAGAAACAGAGTCATCTTTAAGATCTGAACGCATTTCTTCATCTGAGATATTTTTCTTTAATGCTTGTTTTATTTAGATGACATGTATTGTATCATATTCTGCAGGTTCTCTCTGCCCTCAACTTGTACAGATTCATATTGATGAGAGAGTCAACAGGTAAGGGTTACTTCTGTTTATTATGATAGTTGATCACCGACGTTTACACTATCGTATTCGAATCGTGATAGTATATGCATGAAGTAAAGCCCCAAATTGAAACAAATGCTTACATGAGTAGTTTTTGTGAATTGCATGATTTCGTAACTGTAACTTCGAAAACCTCTGAAGTATGAACAGAATCGACCAAGATATTGGAGCATCTGTTCAAACCCCTAGATATTTGAATATTTGTAACCTAAACTGAATTTTGCCTTTAATAGATAGACCTTTTAATATTCAAAAGTGAAAGGAGGTCTGTTTAAGTGCCACGTGCATTTCTGACTATGGTGACAAATGCCACAGGAAATACCAATTACACCGGAGTGCTGTCCAAGAAAAACTTACAGAAGGCCTACAATGAATGGCTTCTACCTCTCCGAACCCTAGTGACGGGTACTGTGGCAGAAAACAAGAAGGATTACGACCGACTTGCGATGGACACTGTATGTGTCTTAAACCCCATCGAGTTAGTTCTGTACCATTGTATTGAGCTTGTTGAAGAAAAGCTAAAAAATGCTACCTAGGTTAATCATGTTCAGGTTACAATATTTGATATTTTCATCAATGGGGGAAAAATCCCATATAGTTGATTGTATGAATTTACAGTTTGGTTAATCCAAATTTCATTGCATTTCTAGAGTCTAACGTTATGTTTGGATTGAGTGATTTGGAGAGAAAAGAAAAGAAATAGAGAGATATGTATTTCTTTTACTTGTTTGGATAATTTAAGTGGAGAGAAATAGGGAGAAATGGAGATAAACGGAAGGAAACTCATTTATCTTATAACCCTCAATTTTAATCTTCCCGAAGAGATTGTGAAAGAAAAGAAATCAATATTTTTATAATACTAATTTTGTCCCTGTAAAAATAAAAGAAATAAAATGATTGAAAATATAAAAAAGGTTATTTTGGCAATATAACATAAATTAATTTTTTTTCTTGTCTCTTATGAAATCTAACTAAATAAGAAGGGGAGAAAAATCACAATAATTTATTTTATTTTATTTTTTACTTATTCAAATAAGAAGGGGGGAAATCACAATCATTTCATTTCATTTCATTTCTTTTTTCTTATAACTTAAGTAATTGTGGGAGCCGGATATTGTTGGTATACTTGCAATAAAGTCGAATGACGGTATGAGGACAGTCAAGGACGGAATTTGTATTCGGTTCCATCCTGGACGATCGCAAAACCAAATAGACTAATCGGCCGAAGAACTAGTTGAACAAAAGCCAAATAAATAAACGTGCAATGGATTGAGGGTGGGTCCGACCCTGAGGCCCAAAAGAAAAATATAAATAGAAGAGTATCAGCTGAAGAAAGGTATGTAAAAAAAAGTAAGATTAACTTGAGGTATAAGCAACCTAGAGAGTATACACTGACTTATCCGTCGGAGTGCTAATTCGGCATCCCCAACCGGAGCGTTCATTTCTTTTCAGGTGACTAGCTGAGGATCAAGAGCGTCTTACAGGATCCAGAGAGTATTTTCAAACCACTTCTCCACAATTGGCGCCGTCTGTGGGAATACTCCAGCACATCCATAGCGGGCGAGACGGAAGATCCTCCGGTAGTCGTTGACGACTTTACGCCACAAGATGATACCACTCCAAGCAACATGCTTGGACCAGAGAACATTGCCACATGGAAATACTCTCTGGATTCTGTAGGATGCTCTTGATCTTCAGCTAGTCACCTGAAAAGAAATGAACGCTCCGATCGGGGGTGCTGGAATTAGCACTCCGACGGATAAATCAGTGTATACTCTCTGGGTTGCTTATATCTCAAGTTAATCTCACTTTTTCTTACATATCTTTCTTTAGATGATGCTCCTCTATTTATATTTTTCTTTTGGGCCTCAGGGTCGGGCTCACCCTCAATTTATTGCACGTTTATTTATTCGACTTTTGGTCAACTGGTTCTTCGGTCGATTAGTCTATTCAGTCTTGCGATCGTCCAGGATGGAGCCGAATACAAATTCCGTCCTTAACTGTCCTCATACCATCATTCGGCTTTATTGCACGTATACCAACAATATTCGGCTCCCACAATTGCCCTCCAAACATCCTATTAACGCCAGTTAGTCGACATGTTTGGTTTCGAACTTAAAAAGACAAGGAAAGAACGACGGTTAATCCCATTCCAACGCATGTCAGAACACACGCTTTTTGGGCATCATTACATCTTTCCGCCTCTTCGTACGCTTTCTTCATTAAATGTAATTTGAAACTATGTTGTCTTTTCGAATGTAAGTTTTTTTGAATATTCACAGCTTATGGTTTGCCTTTCGATATACCTCTATTTCGCGACCTCTGCAACTTTCTTCTGTCTCTCATTGTCTCTTATGCTTCTTGTAAGTTCTCTTCTCTTTCATTTTAAATCCCATTTCCTCGTTTATTTTTAGTTTTGCATAATCCTTAGGCTGGCTAGGATGGCAAAACACATGAAAGAACTCCTTTCTGCGGATCGAATTTCTGGTTTCCAGCGCCATTATTCCATCCTCAACGACGTCCATCTGTCACTCGTGACAGACAGCACCATTGATATGGAGAGGACTGATGAAAGTACAATCATCTTTCCTCTCCTATCAATTGCTGAGGGCGGAGTCCATTTTCCCCTTCAACCATTTTTAAGGGTCGTCCTTCACCACTGGAGTCTAATCCCTTTCCAACCTAATGTAAATTTTTTCCGAATCATAATAGAGATTAAAGAGTTGAACCGACGCCTTAGGATTAACCTTGGTATACCTGCAATTCGGCATTTTTATGCCTTAGCCAAATCTGCTGGCTGGTAGCGACGCTATTTTCTCAAGACCAAGGATACCGACCATCACTTAGTGACTATGCTTGCCAGTTCTGGCAAGCGTATTGACGATGTAATGGTCGTTGTCCGAGACAACTGGGAATTCGGCGAGGCTGAAGATTTCCTGGATCCCGTGCCAAGACGAAGAGACGAACCAGGTGGCCGTATAGCTTCTTATTTTTTTATTATTATATATTTATTCGATTTTCCTTTTATGTACATATCGTTTTATCTGTACAGGTAACGATTTGAAGAAAGTTTTGGTTTCAGCTGACGGCGCCGTACTTGCGGAAATTAAAATCACACTCCAATTCTTTAGCCGTCCAAGCCTTCAGAAACAAGGGAGGGCAACCCACATTCTTCTGACATACGAGTCGACTTACGCAACGTTTTTGGCGGCAGACAACATTCCAATTCCAAGGGGCGAACAGCAACTTACGGCCTTTATCTTCCCCAACTTCAAAAACCTAAGGCAGATTGGTTTGGAAGCCTTCGATTCAGAGCAGGTGGAAGAACAAGTAGCCGAAGAGACCGCCGAGGAGCCAGACCAGTTGGAAGCTGAGGTAGACGAGGCTCTAAACTTGGCCTTTGAGGAAGCCGGCCTCAATTCATCCAACCCTCCGTTCACTTCCGGCCGAGGGGACGTCTCCTTTGGAGACATTTTTATAGACTTAGGAGACTTTCCCAGCGTGTATCCTGAGACTATGGCTGGGGAGTTGCTCACTCAACTTGCTAGAAGGAAAAACTCTGAAAGGATGGCCGTCCGAAGGAGAGCTGAGGCCATCTGATCGGAAACTCCACCCGCTGCCGTCGCCGAGTCCTCTCTGCCTATTATTGAGAAAGAAACGGCTCAGACCGAAACGGCCGAGATGGAGCAAGTGGAACAGGGGGATTAGGAGGCTAAGCAAAGGAGGGAAATGCTCCTCGCCGAGCGAGAAGCCGTCTCTAGTGAGGACCAAATTGATAAACGGCTGCACATTGAGGAATTAGATTTGGTTGTTCCGTTCACTGTTCAACCAAAGATAAGGAATATGTTGATTGCCTCTGATGTGTCGGCTTTGAAGGATCCGGCTGTGGCCTTGAGTATGGCTTCCTCAATTTCCTTGCCGGTTGACCGAGCCACATTTCGGGCGGAGCCAGATCTACTGTCAATTGCACTTGCTGCTCAATCGGCCTTATTGGTACATTACTTGCCTTATATGCACTCTTCTGCCTAGATATATATATATATATATTATTTTTTGTAACTCTATTTCCTTATTTTGCAGATGGTGGGAAGGATGGCCGAAATCGGCCGTCGTCAACATGACGCTATAGAACATATTGGCTTGCTGAAAACCGAAATTGAAAATGAAAAGAACAAGGCTATGGAGGCCTCTTAAAGAGCCAATTCCGAGGTAGCGAAAGCGGCGGAGAAACATGCGAAAGCCAACTCCGAAGCCGAGAGCACGAGGAATTCCGACCAACTAAGGTTGGCCGCTGAAGAGAGGGCAAAAGTGACCAAAGGCGCGCTTAAGTTAGCCAAGGTGGTGATCGCGAGGCTCGAAGCCGATTTGAAAGAGTTGAGGAAGGCAAAGGAAATAGCCGACTTCGAGATTTCCAAAGCGTTCCAAGCTAGGAAGGATGCCGCCTTGGAAAACTACGTGGAGAAAGTGCCCAAGTTCGAGAATTGGGGTTTCAAACATGGCTGGCTCAAAGCCCTCATTGCCGCAAATGTGACATTGGCACAGCCGATTCCAAACGAGCAGGTGGACGTTAAGCCGCTGGAGTCTGACCCTAAAGATTGATTAGGGTGATATTTTGATTTTTGTTAGGCATCTTAGATGCATAGTTTTTGTAGGTTTTGTTAGTAGATTTTCATTTCTTTACTTCGACTGGAAGTTTAAATGAAAGGTAATTTTCATGTGTAAAATGACTACTATCTGTACTCAATTTATTAATGAAAATTTCCTATGCTTTTCAGTTTACTGCATATACTATTTTTCTTCGATTTATTAATGAAAATTCCTTATGTTTTTCTGTCTGCGGCATATGAGTAAATTAAACATCCGATAGATTAACCGAATCAATTAAACATCCTATGCTTGTCTTTTCTATTTAGCCGAATAAATAAAAGAATCGGCAGTTAACAATTGGGAAAGGTACATGAATATTCGATAAAATAACGAGTAAATTGGATCAAGGCATCGACGTCTGGCCGATTAGATTAATGAATCTGCCATTGCCCAAGCTAATGTATGAACTGGAACGCCCAATGCTATTAGTTCATGGAGTGGTTAGGGCACATGAGATGATCGGCGTCAGGCCTGGACATTTGGCCGAAAAGATTAATGAATCTGTCCTTGACCCAACTAATGTATGAACTAGAACGCCGAATGCTATTAGTTCATGGAGTGGCTAGGGACTCACAACCTGATCGGCGCAAGGACTCTGGCCGATTATATTAATGAATCTGCCATTGCCCCAGCTAATGCATGAACTGGAACCCCGAATGCTATTAGTTCATGGAGTGGCTGGGAACTCACAACCTTATCCGCGCAAGGCCTCGACATTTTTTGGCCGATTAGATTAATGAATCTGCCCTTGACCCCGCTAATGTATGAACTGAAATGCCGAATGCTATTAGTTCATGGAGTGGCTGGGGACTCAGAACCTGATCGGCGCAAGGACTCGACGTCTGGCCGATTATATTAATGAATCTGTCCTTGTCCCAGCTAATGCATGAACTGGAACACCGAATGCTATTAGTTCATGGAGTGGCTAGGAACTCACAACCTGATCCGTGTAAGGCCTCGACATTTTTTGGTCGATTAGATTGGTGATTCTGCCCTTGCCCCAGCTAATGCATGAACCGGAACGCCGAATGCTATTAGTTCATGGAGTGGCTGGGGCACATGAGATGATCAGGGCC